AACTAAGGAGAGAAACAAAAATTAAAGATGGCTGCTGCTGATTGATCCGGAGAGCCAGTGAGACTCGTAAATCATTATGCACTGCAGTACCATTTGTGCGATGCCTCTGTTTGTGAGAATGTATCGTGCATGTATAAGACCATAGAGCATCTCTGCTGCCTGCTCAATCAAATCGCTCTGATTCTGGTTATCTTCAGTTTCCTCATCTGTTAAAAGAAAAGTCACACAGGAAGTTAAAAATTATATATTTTTTTCCTTTTAATCGAAAGTCAACACCTCTCTATAATCTCACCAGGCTCCAGGTCGAGAATCAAATCCAAAGCCTGACGGTAATGAGGGACCTGCTCGTTCAGCCCTGTCAAGTTGAACTTGTCCTGAATGTAGTCTTCATCAACCTGAAACACAGCAACAGAGTACATTCAGTGAATAGAAACTGTTGCTGTCGTTGGAATAATACCACACACTGAAATGAGAGCATTAGAGAAGCGTCTAAAAGGATTATTCAGTTGCTGAAAATAAGGGGTTATAATTAGAAATTGGATTGTACAAGTGCACATGTGCAAGTCTAACCGGTGATTAACTGGATGGATGCTGAACAGAACAGACAAACAATTCCTGGAAAATTAAAATTTTTTTGTTTATTTTGTTTTGTTTTTATACATACATGATCTCTGACCGGTTTGTTTGGTATAAGCCATCATGTTCTCTGGTGGAGAACACAGTGCTTGCAAAAGTACTTGAGAAGGATTTCTGATTTGCCAAGTATATTTTTTTACAGTCAATACTTACTCGAACCATGTTCTGAACAATCATATAATCTTTTGAGATATGTCTCTACCAGCATTGCGGATCTAGAGTAAACGTTCAAGATTGTTTTCAAGTCTTAGTAGGAGTTATTTATGGATTTTGACCATATTCTGCACTCACATGAATATGCTCAGAGCTAAATCTAATTATTGCTTTTCTGGTTGTAGTTGTAGTTTTAGGGTCTTGTCTTGTTGCAAGTTAAAACCTTTTGCAAATATTATTCCTTGGTTTCCCCAGTATTCCCTAGCTTTGTCCTTGTCAAAGAAAAGCAGCCTCATAGAATGATTAGACTGCTGGTGATCTTCTTCACTGCCATCATTCAGTCTGTCCTCTGCACATTCACCACTGTGTGGTTTGTCTCGGCCACAAACCAGGACAAACAATCAGATTCATAGAGAGGGATTCATACATTTCAGGTCTGCACTATTTGCAAAAACCAGTTTCCACAGAGAGCTTCTTTATCCAGGCTCTGATGAACACAATGAACACCTCACAGCCACCGTAGACTACTTTTCTGTGTACATTTCTACACTACTGCAATCTCTGCACACACGTATTGTATTTCTCTACTTACTATATCTCTTAGGTTACCTGTTATTTGTTAACACAGACACTGCAACCACAAGAAGAAGCTGCAGTAGCCAAATAAAACACTTCCTTAAAAGTAATCTCTGGCATCTACTTAAAAAAAATGTTGACAGAATTTCAGCTTATAAGAGCCTGTCCACTCTCTCAATTTGTAACCAAGATATATGAAATTGGCGACATTTAGAAGTAAAACCAACTTTATTTTCGAGGTAATACTCTTGGAAATGTGTCAGAACTACATATCTTAAGACTAGACAGTTTCTGAACCCAACTTAAAAGTCTCTCCGTTGGGGATCAAATGTAAACAGACATGACTCTTTTAGAAATGAACTCCAACTTTTGATTCTTTGATCATATTTTCAAAGTAAAAGTGGAACTTGCCTCGCAGAACAGCTCGTTTCCTCTGAGTCCACAGAACCAGGATATCCAGGACACCTCCTCCGAACTGCTCATCCTCCTGACAAACAGTAGAGCTCTTTAGATCCACACCAGTCGGCTAACAAGAAGCTTTAATTAAAACAAACTTAAAAATGAAACATTCTAACAAGATGCGCCGTCACTTATCGGATATGTGTAGTTTACGTTCACTGCAACTTACGTTAGCTCTTCATATACACGCTACCTGGCTAGCTATTGTGTTGCTATGTAGCTTAAGGTGCATAATTCGGTAAGTATTTCTGTTGAAAGTGTTTTCACACGAGAGTATATTAAATTACAACACAAATTTAGCTTCACTTACCCGTTTAAATGTGTCTTATAATATATTAATATGCAGGCTTTGCTAGCTTTTCCTCTCTTCCGCGATGACCAACTTCCGGTGTCTTGGGTTTTCAAATTAATAGTCTAATTATGCTAATGCGCTAACAGGAAACAGAAACATTTAACGAATTATAACTCGTTGAATTGAAACACACACCGACACTGTTTTTTCCTTCTTTTTAATAAAATAACAATTCCAATACACCGGATGTAACGAAAAATAAAAATGACATTGATACCCATATTTTCTCAGGTGAAATAAAAATAAAAAAATGATTAGTTATCAGTCACTTTGACATTAGGCTGTGATTTTCATTTATGCAATAACACTCCATACTTTTAAATAAATTTACTTTTTTTTCAGTCAAATTTTCCACTGTTTTACATCTTGTTTGGGCCAGAAGGACTCTTAAAAAAAAAAAAAAGAAAACAGTAAAACATATCTTGATGTAATGAAGATGTCAGGGAAGGTCTGAAAAGGTTTTGCGTGAAGGTGGACCAGCATCCTTCTGCTCCTGCTCCTTTCCCATTCCTTCAAACATTAGAATCCTTAGCAGCAGAAGAAGAGACACTTGTCATTACTTCACATTTTCAATCATACACTATGTACTTTCTGAAGTTTCTTTCATGAGATGCCAGAAAAAGTGCTGTGAAAGGGAAAATTGTCATTACTTCAAAATTTTTGTAATGAAATGTAAGCACTGGTTTACACAAGCCAATGAAAACACAATCCTTTAATTTTAGCACACTGCTGGTCAGCTGCTGAACAATACTTTCACATACTTATGGAAACACAAAAAACATGGTTAGTGATAGTTTGGAAACTAAAGAAAATCCGCTTTTAACTTAAAGTGTTTTGGTTAGGGGAAAGAGTTAGGGTTAGTTGACACTTTAAAAAACAACAGCCATGCAATCATATTGTACAGCTAGCTTTTAAAGCAATGTGTTTGTACAATGGATTTCTTTGCTCAGAGCTTACATGAAAATCCACCAGCCCATTCCTAGTCTCATTATATAGCAAAACACAAAACCGTTGTTATTTTTTATTTCAGAGACAGACATTCTTGAACATTCTCAAAAGCTCTAAAAAACTTTGGAAAGTTTTGCTCTCCAGAGAAATATGTTCCTTATAACAAGAGGAACATATATGTGCATATATGTGCTTCTTGCGGAAGTAAATGTTTCTGTTTATTTTAAACAAGTGTGGGTTTATGTTTACTGGCACCACATATAGAAATGTGGTGCCACATATAATTGTAGAATCAGATACCCTTTTAGTTTCGCATTAACCTAAATATACTCACAGCTTCAGAATTGCATTTCGTTTCCCCAGCATCATATTCAGGAAGTCGTGGTAGCTGATTGTGTCCTTCGATGGGCCTCCAGCTACCTCTGACATCATCTTTTTCAGCTCTAAGTGAGTTTTAGCCAGTCCAAGTTTTTCCAGCATACGTTTTAACCCCATCATATCTGCAATGTTGTTTGTGCATATATAAGAAATAAATTTGACAAGTTTAAGTGGCCTGTGGAAACACTGTTAAAAATGAGTGAGTGAGCAAGTTGAAATTTCTCACGGTAGCTAAAAATACTTTTGATATGTAGAAGTCTGGTGCACATTTACCTATGTCTCCTTTGTCGTTGAGATCAAACTCCATGTATTTCTCTACAAGAAAGACATGGAAGTGTTTCACAGTACATTATACCAGAAATTAGAATGCAAATAAAAACATTTATTACTCTAAGTAACTCACTTTTAAACATTTCAAGCTTTGTTGCCAGATCTTCCTCATCTGCATACTTTGAATCGGAGAGAAACGCCTGAGAAGGGGAACAGTTCATTTGCTTGGTCAAACCAAAAAGCTTAATTACTTTACCCAAATATGACAATTATTCCAGCTCACCTCATTTATGGAGTTAAGTTTTTCCTCCTGGTGAGACTTAAGAAGCCCATAAGCTTTACCTCCTGTTAAAAACAAAGCAGTCATCAGCAAATCATTTTCTGGATTGCGAGAAGAAAAACAAACCATATCAATTTTAAATTGCAAGCTTTTTTCAACTGAATGGGCTTTAAAATATAAGCTTTAGCAGAGAAATGCAAGCATACCTTGAGCATTGTTATCCATTTGTGTGAACTGTGCTGGGAAACTAACACAATGACTGTTTTTAAACGCTGTGGCTGTAAATTGTGTCTGAAGAGGAAGTGAGATCTGGGTGAAGTTCCCGTGTGATATTTAAGATAGCAGAGAGCTAAGGTCAAATTTATGATGCAAAAATTAGAATTCCCACTTGCCCCATCTTTTCCACATAAAGGGGATGAAAACTTGTGCCATTTGTGCCTTTTTCATGTTACTGCAGCATACTGCCCACAGTGTGCTCAGCGTTATGTTTCACTTCTGTACAATGCGATGAATAACCTTGTATATATTCACTGTTTTCAGGAAGCAAGGCTGAAACATGGGTGTTTGTTATTAGTCAACAAAGAGACAACTCAGATACCTAAAAGGAAGGCGTAACCCAGGAATTTAAAGTTTTTGCAGTTAATCTAAAAACTTTAATAATACACAGGCATAAATACATAGAATGATCAAATATCAATAAAGTTTGATTGAGTCAATTTATTTGAAATGTATGCTGGAACATGACATTTCTTTACTAAAAGCATTTTTTACCCAGCATAATTTCTGTGAAACTGAACATGGTTTGTAATTAGCATTATAAAATAATCTTGAAAGACAATCCTGCAAAGATAAGCCGGGATAAACATTAGATGGAAGGATGGATGATGTGATAGTTCATTCAGATGCATTCTACAAGTTAATCATGATATTTTCATAATTAACTTGTAGAAATGTGGTGCCACATATAATTGTAGAAATTATATGTTGCCAGCATTTAGTTTTGCCAGACAATGGCGCTCTTGCTCAATTGAAAATAGGGAAACAGTCTTATGTTTGTTTTATTTTAGTTTCAAGATGACACTTCAGGTTATACACAGGAACTGAGAATATTCTATCTTAAAACGAAAGGTACAAAAGCTAATGCTTGCGTGACATTGCTGCATTACTCAGAAAATGGCTCACTTGTATTTTCAGGTTTGCCTTTTAGTGTTTGTCTTAAAAGTTCCTCCCAAATGCAGAGGTGAGTTTCCTGTTGGTCTTTCTTATTGGATTAAATCAGCCATTATTCTATTTCAATACATATTTCATGTCTGTTTTGTAGATTTACACATATCAGTAATTCACTACATACAGTAATTTTATTTAATGTCAGACTGACTATGTTAGAATCTGACTCCGCAGGTGATGACATTGCAGGTTTTAAAGATGAAGACGTGATTCTGTCATGTCTAAACTTCAACATCACGGGTCAAAGGAGTTGCTATAGAATCAGACTGGTGAACAACACAGATTCCTACAAATCGTCAGTTATATTTGAGTATCCAAAGAAATCCCAGGATGCCAAACGTGTGAATTTGCAAGCAAACGAGAAAGGACAAACGTGTGTTTTTTTGAAAACCTTGCAAATTTCAGATGAAGGGAAATACAACTTTGAAATTTGGGAAGGATGGGACAACATTAATGTCATCCGCATAAACTTAAAAGTGAAAGGTAGGGTCTTAATTTTTTTTTTAATTATTATAATTTTAAAGATTAATTTATACAATTTGCACAGTAGATCACATGCTCCTTCATAATCTTTTTTAGAATGCAGAAACCTTAAGTCACAGGTGGCAAAGCCTGGCCAGAACGTGAGTCTTAACTGCTCAGTGGATGCAGAAATGGCCCCTTCAAATGTCACATGGGCGAAGATGAAAGGGATCCAGCCTGTACCTGTTGATTTGACGAGGGTTGAAATGAAGGGTACATCCCTGACAATCAAGTCTGTGTCCGCCAGTGACACTGGTTGGTACAAGTGTGTTTATACACTCAGTCAAAGTCGACGCTGCTCAGAGATCAATCTACTTCTGGGTCATCAAGGTCTGATCTTAAACAGATCTCTTCAGTATTATCTCCAATAATTTTATATATTAGGTAACTGTTACTATTGCATCGCTTTTTTGTTTGATTAAGCAGATGTGTCCACGGCGACCATGATTCCAAGATCTGCATTTACAGAAACTCGCCAAGGTGTGTTTTATGTTTAATTTTTTTATATACACTATAACAGCGGTCTCTTTTTATTGAGATGTTCAAATGGCTTCATCTTTATGTCTTTGCCAGCCTCTCCTTACATTGCTTCGGAAACCAACGAGATGGAAGGAAGTGAAACCTCGACTCTTGTTGTAGTCCTGACCATCACCTCAATTTTCACACTTGCAGCATTTACAGGAGTGTTTATTTACAAGAGATACAAAACTCTCAGGAACTCTCCAGGTGGGCTCTCTTTCTCTCTCTCTGTTTTGTATGGTTTTAAGGTTTTAAGGTTGATTTCTATTGTACAGCGCTTTGTGATTTTATGTCTATAAAAAGGGCTTTATAAATAAACTTCACTTACTTACTCTCTTTCCCTCTTTTTGTTCCTCTTTCTCCATGTAAATATGTGTATATAAATGCATATGTATATTGTATATGTATATAGATATGTATCATTTTTGCCTTTTCCCTTTTCTTCAGTTTGCTTTAGAGAGTCTGCAGACATTTATGAGAACGTGAGTCTTCCATGTTCACCAGGTGAGAGTAAAATTATGATCTTGGTGCCACTTTTCTTTAATCGGATATCTAAACTGTACCTCATTATTCCTATTTTCTTGCCTTAAAACTAAAGAGTCATTTTTCATCTTTTAAATGAGAATGTTTATGTAACACACAGATACTACAAATCGAGTCAACAGCTTGTATTCATTCCCAGAGGAGAATGTATAAGGATTCACCTGTAAGTATATTACATTGATGACTCTAATGCTTCAGTATTGAGTATTCATACAAATATTCAAATATTCCCATTTTTGTTGCAGTTCAAAACTAGAACTTTTCTGGCTACTCATGGAGAATACTGAAGATCTACTCCCTCAAAAAAATAAAATAAAATAAAAATAAAACCAGCCTGCCTGGCATCAGGAAAAACACCACATTCAGCAACACAGAACCACTTAAATCCTGCCCCCTCTATTGCTTTGACCTTCAGCATATTGTTGTCACCATGTCTAAATGCCTAAATGCAGTGAGGTGCTACAATGTAATTAGCTGATTCATTATGTGCACTAACACAAGAGCGCTGGAGTGGCTAACAAAGTTTCCAGTCAGTTTACTTCAAATTTTCTTAATTTTTCCAAGTGAAATGTGTGCTACATTGTTGTCTTTCAATAGGCTTTATTTCATCCAAAGCATGCATGTGATCTTCTCTTGTGCATTTTATTTCGCAAATCTTGTTTTCTGTGTTGGCAAATAAAACTATTTCAGCATTTAAGTGAAAACAGAGGAGTGTTTATTTTACTTTAGTTGACAGGTTGTAATAAATTGTAGAAACCATCATCAGTGGTGGCAACTTCTCTTTTCAGCTGTCCCGGTTGCTGTACTTCCTCATCCTGAACCACATCATAAACATGATTCTGGTAAAAAGAACACTGACATTAACATTCTGAGATATATCAGAACAACACAAATCAAATGGGATTGTTGATGTATATAATTATTTCTTTTTACCATTGAAATGTCTGAAAGTTCATCAGCTGCAGAAAGAGAGAAGATGTCAGTTGTGACATTTAGTAGATGATCAAAAAGTGAAACTTTAGATGACGGGTTCCTCTACCAGATTCAGTACTCAAATCCTTATTGCGCTTCGTCTTCCAGTGAATAAAACTTCCTCCTGCTGCTGCACATAATAAAACGCCAAGAGGGAGACATAGCCATGCCAGAGTCTGCAGAGCTGAAGAGAATGTAGTCTTATTCCTCTTTTGTTTCTGCTTAAACAAAATTGCATACACAGAAAAGTAATCCTGCATACTTACATTTAACAGAGCTCAAACTTTTTGATGCCATCTTTGAACCTTCTCTGTACACAGAGCAGGTTATTGCATCAGAGCTAACTGGCCAAACTGGGAGAAGAAGCTCATTGATCAATGTGTTGTTAACATGAAATAGTCTGCCTTGCCATCGCTCTTGGTTGCTTCCAGACCAAGTTAGATTGAAGTTTTCTTCACATATTTCAGCACAAGTAAGCACACAGATCAAAGAGAGATTTCCTTTTAATGGCTGTGTATTTGCTGCAACTGTAACATAGAAAAAAAAGTGTCAAAAGACTCTCGAAGTTTGAATTTCTTTTCGATTATTTTTCTCACTTACCATGGAGGGTGTGAACCCTTATTCTGTGCAACACTCTTTGCTCATCAGAGGAGCCCATACACTGGTAATCACCAGCATCCATAGGAGTCAGTTTGCTGATTACTAAGGATGAGTCTTTGATCACATGAGATGTATTTGTTTGGCCATTTTCAGGTACCAGATCACTGAGCATTTTGTTATTCAGTGTCCACTCTATTCTGTCTCCAAGTCTGAGAGAGGAAGTGTTTCTACATAGGAGTGACACTGACTCACCAACAGCAGTGAACACTTCCTCCAGCCCATCTACAGGAAAGAGAGCAAAGCTAAACCTTTGCACATACAAAACCACAGTTTGAATTTCTTATTACAGAGTATTACCTCTTACTGTTGTCCTGTAACTACCAGAGGCTTCAACCTCACCATTTTGCATTATTTGGCATTTCCATATTCTGTGATGGTCGGTCAGTTTCCTGGTAATGATGAGCTTTGACAAGCCGACAGATGGATTTTCAAATCTAAATCTATTACCAGTTATTGGAACATCATCCTCAGTTGTCCAGTTGATATGTATGTCTTTGTCAGTTTTACAGCTGTCAAAACCAGTAGATTTACTCAAGGAACAATGAAGTTCTATGGTGCCCTCTGCTGGAGATGTTTTCTCTGTAACTGTTGAATAAAAAACAAAATTACTCTTTCTTTTCATAGTCACTTTAAGAATTTTATAAACAGTAGTCCTACTTACTGTCAAGAAACTGAAGGGAAACACTTGAATTTAGCGCTCCACTTTCACAAGTATACAACTTGGCATCGTCACGCTGCATCTGAGGGATCTCCAGTGAGCAATCCTTCAGCAGATGATACTTGTTTTCCTTTAAATGTGTCACTTTTCCAGCTGTAACCACCTCATCTTTATTCCATAACCAGTTCTTGACTGTCCAGTTTACTGAAGAGCAGGATCCAATAGAAGGTAAACCACATTTCAAGGTAACTCTGTCTCCTGGTGTAGCAAACTGCAGCACATAATCTGTTTGTAATAATAAAGAATGCATTTAAGCAAAAAATGTACACAAGTCTTTGATCATTATTTTTCAAAGCAGGTATTTAAGTATCTGTGGTAATCCAACCTATATTCACTTGCAAAGTGATTCCCAGTGATTCTGTTTCTATGTTGGATAATTAACAAGCAAATCAAGATTAAAGAACTGAAAACCAGACTACACTGATTGACCATTAAGAGGCTTTTCAATGCAATCCATGGCAGAATATAGAGAGAGCACCCAGGACATGGTACTGTATTGGATGCTTTTTCTCCTTACACACATTTTAAAATGTATGAGGTATGGTACATTACCTCACAAATTTTAAGGTAAATAATTACTCAAATACTCAATACAACCTAGGTGAGCTGATTATATATAGTAGAAGTGTTGTATCTACCTGATGAATCAAGTGCCTGTGATGTCCATAAAGGAGATATAAAATATAATCCAATCAAAGGCTGGAAATTCATTCTTCTTTTATAGACTCTTGTGTAAATGCTTCACAAATATGACCAAGTTCTGTAACGGCAACAATTTCTTAAAATACCTCTTAAGGAAGTATTTTTGACACCACATGACAGGATGTTACTTCAATGCAAAACTGAATGTGTTACATAAAAAATCGTCTTCTGGGTTGTATTCGTCGATCCGCAAATGCCTGTAATATGTTCTTCTGCTTCAAATGTCTCAGTAAATGTAACTTTTACTTTCAGCTTAATCTTTTCCATCTCTCAAGTGGATGCTAGGCATGTTGACAAATATTTGTTTTAGAGTTGGTTTCAGACATTTTATTGCAATATTAGCAAAGATGTGTGTGTGTGTGTGTGTGTGTGCTTTTTTCTTTTTTCATCATTCATGGATGAGACCAGTTCAGTCTACTCTGTAAGATAAAAACTGAGCTCAAGCCACATGAGAAATTATTTGATAAACTCAACCCAGTGTGATGTTCCACACATTAGTGGTTCAGGTTTAAGTTCTTCTCTAAAGGTTCTGATCTTATAGAAATCTGGTCTGATTCTCAAATGAAAGGCAAATAAACAGTGCACCTCAGCCAAACATCATTCACTCTCCAGGCAGATTAAGGGTCACAATTGTTCATAAATTTCATCCAACATGCCTCCTCTGACTGGATATGTACTAAAGTTTCAGATTGACCTAGCTGGAGTCTCTGATGAATCTGACAAGGAATCTGAGGAAGCAGATGCAGATTAAGGAGACTGACAAGGAGTCCATCTAACCCCAAAGACTTGAAGCCCATCACTAAATCAAAATCGTCATAATATTGTAAACCAGCAAAAAACAGTTCAGAAATTATTCAAATAGTATGATTGAGGTCATACTTTGCTCCTGTGATTGTTAAGGGTATTAATAGTTTTAAATAAAATGGTAATACAAATTATTCAAAAAGAAGTGAACTAGATTTTTGCTCAATTCATATACATTTGGCTTTTTATTATATTTTGATATATGTTGTCTTATTTCCAAAAATACACAAACATATTGCTCTGAATATTCAGAAGCAAAGCCAGGAACAGCACGACTGCAGAAGTTTACATTTATGCTGGAAACGTGAATAAGTAGCTAAAAGGTGACAGCTTACATGACAGAAACAAAGATGTGGTATTGAAAAATAAAACATTGTAAAATCAAACACTGACAATTTGGCTCAACCACTGAGCCACGTGATTGATGGTCCAGAATCATAATTTTAGGCCTTAAAATGTAGAGACAGTTAATGTCAGCCAGGTGAGCTTAAGCTTTTGCAAAAATGCAAAAATATGTTTTGCATTACAAAACATATTTAACATTTTGTCTTGCTAAAATAAGTAAGAATAAAAAAGTATTTAATAACAGCATATGAATTAACACAAAACATTATGTATTTTCTTTTGGCATTATGACTTTAAAAACTGTAGAACATCAGCAGTGAGTGCTTCTCTGTAAATTTGTCTTCTGTTTCTTGTGATTCTTCTTCCTTGATGTGTTTCCTCATGGCTCTAAGAAGAAGCAAACTGATGTGAGCACATTTGAACATTCCTACATGATTTTCAAGGTCTTCCAGTTTTGACACACTGTTTATTAGCAACATAAAATATGGAAACGACAATCAAGTTTAATCTTATTTTTTAGAACAAATGAAAGCTTGGTCAAACAGTTCATAATTTGGCAATACCTGCATTATTGCAGTGTTTCCACTTCATGTAGATGCTAAATCCAACTGCAGCTAGACCTACTATAAGGCCAAGACGAAGGGTTAAACTCCAGGAGACCTGCAGAGCTGAAGAGATTAAAGTCTTGTCATTTTTGGTATTCTTATATTTTCTGTACAATTTTTATAGCTGTGACCCTACATACTTACATTTAGCAGAGCTCAAACTTTTTGATGCCATCTTTGAACCTTCTCTGTACACAGAGCAGGTTATTGCATCAGAGCTAACTGGCCAAACTGGGAGAAGAAGCTCATTGATCAATGTGTTTTAACATGAAATAGTCTGCCTTGCCATCGCTCTTGGTTGCTTCCAGACCAAGTTAGATTGAAGTTTTCTTCACATATTTCAGCACAAGTAAGCACACAGATCAAAGAGAGATTTCCTTTTACTGGCTGTGTATTTGCTGCAACTGTAACATAGAAAAAATGTCAGAAGAAACTTTTATACAGCTCTCAAAGTGAGAATTTCTTTTCAATTATTTTTCTCACTTACCATGGAGGGTGTGAACCCTTATTCTGTGCAACACTCTTTGCTCATCAGAGGAGCCCATACACTGGTAATCACCAGCATCCATAGGAGTCAGTTTGCTGATTACTAAGGATGAGTCTTTGATCACATGAGATGTATTTGTTTGGCCATTTTCAGGTACCAGATCACTGAGCATTTTGATATTCAGTGTCCACTCTATTCTGTCTCCAAGTCTGAGAGAGGAAGTGTTTCTACATAGGAGTGACACTGACTCACCAACAGCAGTGAACACTTCCTCCAGCCCATCTACAGGAAAGAGAGCAAAGCTAAACCTTTGCACATACAAAACCACAGTTTGACTTTCTTATTACAGAGTATTACCTCTTACTGTTGTCCTGTAACTACCAGAGGCTTCAACCTCACCATTTTGCATTATTTGGCATTTCCATATTCTGTGATGGTCGGTCAGTTTCCTGGTAATGATGAGCTTTGACAAGCAGACAGATGGATTTTCAAATCTAAATCTATTACCAGTTATTGGAACATCATCCTCAGTTGTCCAGTTGATATGTATGTCTTTGTCAGTTTTACAGCTGTCAAAACCAGTAGATTTACTCAAGGAACAATGAAGTTCTATGGTGCCCGCTGCTGGGGATTTTATCTCTATAAGTGTTGAATAAAAAAACAAATTACTCTTTCTTTTAATGGTCACTTTAAGAATTTTATAAACAGTAGTCCTACTTACTGTCAAGAAACCGAAGGGAAACACTTGAATTTAGCGCTCCACTTTCACAAGTGTACAACTTGGCATCGTCACGCTGCATCTGAGGGATCTCCAGTGAGCAATCCTTCAGCAGATGATACTTGTTTTCCTTTAAATGTGTCACTTTTCCAGCTGTAACCACCTCATCTGTATTCCATAACCACCCCTCGACTGTCCAGTTTACTGAAGAGCAGGATCCAATAGAAGGTAAACCACATTCCAAGGTAACTCTGTCTCCTGGAGTAGCAAACTGCAGCACATAATCTGTTTGTAATAATAAAGAATGCATTTAAGCAAAAAATGTACACAAGTCTTGAGCATTTTTTTCCAAAGCAAGTATTTAAGTATCTGTGGTAATCCAACCTATATTCCCTTGCAAAGTGATTCCCAGTGATTCTGTTTCTATGTTGGATAATTAACAAGCAAATCAAGATTAAAGAACTGAAAACCAGACTACACTGATTGACCATTAAGAGGCTTTTCAATGCAATCCATGGCTGAATACAGAGAGAGCACCCAGGACATGGTACTGTATTGGATGCTTTTTCTCCTTACACACATTTTAAAATGTATGAGATAAGGTACATTACCTCACAAATTTTAAGATAAATAATTACTCAAATACTCAATACAACCTAGGGGAGCTGATTATATATAGTAGAAGTGTTGTACCTACCTGATGAATAAAGTGCCTGTAATGTCCATAAAGGAGATATTAAATATAATCCAATCAAAGGCTGGAAATTCATTCTTCTTTTATAGACTCTTGTGTAAATGCTTCACAAATATGACCAAGTTCTGTAAGGGCAACAATTTCTTAAAATACCTCTTCAGGAAGTATTTTTGACACCACATGACAGGATGTTACTTTAATGCAAGTCGGAGGCCGTTTCACTGATGAATCATGGAGCTCTTTTATACTCTGTAGGCGTACAACACATCTACTCTGTCCTGTATTCAAGATGTTTGAGTTCATTTATTGAAATTAATTTTTTCTTCTCTGGAAAGTTGTCTCCTGTGTATTTTGGTTCCTCTTCCTCCATGACTTCATAGTTTTCAGAGAAACACATTTTAACATATCTGCTCGATTTAAATGCTTCACCACATACTAGCTGCATCAAAATATGAAAGCAAATCAGTCATTTAATATCATAACAAACTGAAAGGTCAAGATAAATAATCGTAATTACGCCCCTCTCATAATGTTATTTAAAACTGACAGCTTAGTGTAGTAGTTCTATTAGAGGTAATGCCTGCACTATATCTTTGTTTCCACTTCACGTATGTGCCTATAATAGGTGCAGCTGCACCTATTATAAGGCCAAGACGAATGAATTTATATTTCAGTGTATCACCTCTTACTTTTGTCCTATAACTGGCAGAGGCTTTAAGGTCACCATTTTGGGTTATTTGACATTTCCATATCAGTTTCTTGGTAATGATGAGTTTTGTAAAGCAAACAGATGAACTTTTTACCAGTTATTGAAGCATCATGCCCATTTCGGTTTTCCTTTTGATATGCCTGTGTTATTTTTGTAGGGAACAAATCCTATACATGTATTGAGGGAACACATAAGTTCATAAGTGTCCTCTGCTGGAGTGGGGTTCTCCACAACTGTTAAATTAAAAATAGCTAAATTTATTTTATTTTCTCCTTTATTATTCACTTTCAGACTTTTCTAAAACCCATCCACAATCATAATTCAAAGAGATACCAGACTCAACAGACATGTTCTCTGTAAGTTTGTAAAATAATATATAGTGGTGCACTTACTGTGTACAAGTAATGGTTGGTTTTTACTCTACTAAAACATATGTAAAATTTGGTTATAATTTTGGTTCATTTGAACCATATTTTTGAGCTATTGATTTAACAAAAATCTTCAACATAAACAAAACTTAATATTCAAGCATAAATAGCTGTCCCTCTTGCGTAAATATAAGCTCAACCATTTTGAGTAAATTTGGTCATATTATTTGACCAAATTTAGATTTGTTTCCCATGTTCTTATAAATATTCCTACTTACTTTATTCAACCTGATGACATTTAGTGACCAAATCCAGAAAAATATGAATCATTTTCTTAAAGTATGACTTCACCTTCTTCATCTTTGTGAGATTTAACCCATATAACTCTTTTCAGCTATTGGAGTAAAAATGAAGACGCAAAAGGTAAGCGAGATGCATGTACAGTGTTTATCCACTTGGTGGTGCCATAATTGTTTCACAATTAGAGTCTTCTGTACATAATCAGATACAGATGGATCCATGTGCTTTGTTACACAAAGGTTAAATCCAGACATTTTTGCTGCTCTGTTCTTTCCAGAAGTTAGATCCACATGTTGAATTTGTTAAGGAACCTCTTCTGACTCAAATACAGCAAAAGGAAAACATTTACAGCAATGAAACTTGTCCACACTACTACCCAAGGACTAGTTCAAGGCCTAGGACATGCAACAACTTTGTAGGCCTTGATCTTCAGCACAACACTGGCGACCCCCCTGAGGTCAGGCAGGGAGCATTCATTCTGAGGAAGGACAAACTGGAAATCTCTCAGCAAGTAAGCAGTGAACAGAAAGAGTTCAATTTTGGCAACAGACTCCCCCAGGCAGAGCCGAGCACCCCCTCCAAAAGGCATCAGGAAGCGTGCGGAGCCGCCGCCTCCCTCCTGAAAGCGCTCTAAAAGCAAAAATAACAGATTCAAAATAAAAGCTGCTGAGCCAGCTCAGGCAGAACACTGTAGCTGGGGAAATAAAGCTTTACCAGGTTTGAAGCTGTACGGCTCGGACCAAACTGCCGGATCGTGATGCGCTCCAAAAAGATTAGGAATGATGATGGTGTTCTTCGGGATGAAATAACCTGCGATGCTGCACATGAGTTTAAAATCAGAGTCAAATTACAAGTAAAATACAGCAGGAAAAGTAATGCATGCGTTTGCGTATTGCGTTTCCAAAAAGTGACATGCATTGATACATTAACACATTGACAAAGAAATTAAAATGAATGACTTAAATAAATATTTTATTGCAGCAGCAAAACCAGTGAAATCGAATTTAGAAAATATGTAATCTTTATGTAATTCAGTCAAGTTGTTAAATTTACCTTAAGAAAGTATTACTGAAATTTCTACCAATATCAATAAAGATGAGCCCACTAGCTGTTTTTCCAAATGGGAAAGACGTTTCATTCAGGTTAAATGAGTATTAATTGTCAAAATTTCAGAAGAAACCTGGTTCATCAGCCACTTTTTAATCTGTCATCCCCTCTGTATAAATGTTAGAATACTAAATAGCCTCTATTCAAATATCTAAAGAAAATTTGTGAAATTTTAACTCATTATGAGTCCAAATTATGAACAAATGCATTGAGTCACTATCACATTATATCATTGTAGGTGAGCTAACCTGCTGTCCCTAATGGCTCTGTGTGGGACGGCCAAAGGAGCCACCGGTCTGAGTCTGAGCATCTCACTGATAAGAGAGGACAACACAGGAAGTCTGTGTCTGTCACTGTATTTAGGATACCGCCCCTCTAAAACTCTGCACAGCTCCTCATATACGCTGGTCTGCACCTAAACCATTAAAAATAAGACATGAGACACAGACACAACCTGTAAGATGTGTAAATGCTATTAAGAATGTTTCATAATCAAAGTTTCCTATGCCTCTGGTCTGTGCAGCAGGAAGGCCACGGTCCAGTTGAGCCAAGCTGCCGTAGTCTCTGTTCCACCAATGAGGAGATCCACAGTCGCCATGTGGACATGAATATCAGTCAGGAGCTGGAGATGAGAATATGTCTACAGTTTGTTTGCAGATTCAATTCTGCTAACTTAAAATTTTTGGTTTTCTATAAATATCTCCTTTTTAATATTTTCTGGCATTTAATAAATGTATATACCTCTCCATTTTCTGTGTTTGGAAGTTTGTCAAGGCCTTGGAGGAGGAATCCTGTTATAGTATCCTCATTTATTTTGTTTTGTGCCTGCAAAAAGAATGTAGAAGGACAAAAATAATAAAAACATAACACTTAAACAGACTTAGATGATGTATCCAAGTCTATTAATTGAGATTAACCTTTGAGATTTAGATATTGTCCGTGTTTTTTGGTCATTTTCCCTCTTTGCCATTTTGTACTTTTGCAATGTTGATATTGTCTAACTTTTTATGGAACAACAACAACAAAAAAATAATTTCAATACAATCACATTCCAGTTGATAACAGTTTATCAAAGTTCACCAAGTTCACTTGACTTTGAATGCTGACTTCAAGCATTCAGTGTTATTTGATATAAGCAAGTTGGATTTACAGCAATCCCTCATACTGAACATACATGCAGCTATGGTGGAGAGGAAAATCTACCCTTGTTATGTGTGGACACATAAATGTTTTTGTGTGATTGCATGTGTGATCCATGGGTTTGTGTTTATCATTATTTTATTCTATTTTATTGTTTTCCATCTAGCTAAAGTTACCCTATTTATTTATGTGTCATTCGTGACTATTATGTAAAGAAAATGTACTATTGGTTATTATTGTCTGTGATTCAGTCTGCCTATTATTTAAGTTCGCTAACCTACCTACCTGCCGTCACTGTACGTATTGTGCTGCTGTTTCTGTGTGTTGGCTCTTGCATTTGTTCATGATTAATGATAATTACTTCAGCCTATAATCAAACATTTATTTTCCTTTTATATGTAGTTATCTAAAAGTGTCATGGTTGCGAGGTACACCCCTAAATTGGTCCTATAGATGTTGGATCAGAAGGTACATAGCCCTGCATGGACATGTGAAATGAAAAGGTTTGTGACAAAACTGCATGAAACTTTGGATTGAAAAGGATTATGAACCAGTAAAAGGGTGTCAGTTACAAAACATACACA